ATGGTCTATTATTTAGCAGCCCTCAGGAGGGAGAAAATGAAATTCTGATTGCTTGCTTTGATATTTTAAATAAGTATTGAAGGCTGGTATAAGAATTGAGAATAGAGCCTGCCTTTCTTGAGCAGGAATTGCCTTCTGAAATGTGATATTCCGCGCATCCCAGTAAAATTTTTGTACAATACGCTTACAGATTGAAGTCGGATAGTAAATTTTATGCATCCACAAACGTCATACTCTCTTTGTTCGTATCGCACACCCATTGCTCACCTTTTTCCAAACTTTTCTTTTGCAAACCTACCCAATGTCTGTACTATTAAGCTATGTTGCATTTTATGTGGCACAGTGCAAATGCATAGTAGTTTCGTAACTATGATTACACCAACTTACAACCCCGAAGCTGATCATTAAATCAATCCGAAACTTATCATTAGATTGCTGCGTTTCGGTCTATTCGGTCTCCCAACCTTAACCACCTTGATTGCTATTTACGGGATGTTATGAAGACCATGGTAAACACCAACGAAATAATTGATTTAGATAATCTTCGTAACCGCGTTAAACAAGCAGGTACGTTTAGGACAAAATTTGAGCATGCGCACTAATGCGAAGGGTCAATATTAAACATGGCTACGTACAGCTGTTTTGTGTTTACATGTTGACATCACGGGCTGGTGTTTCAGTACTCGTTGCAAGTACTGAAACACGTTGCAGTAGCGTTGCAAGTGGTGACCAGAGTATTCACCACATACTTTAACTTTTAAACGTTCGGTACTTTTCTCGTTATTTTATTGACTACATATTTAAATTTTAAAACCTTAAAGTTGCTTCCTAAACGGGTCAGCTGTAAGCGTTAAGTTCCTTACTGTTACGGTTACAACTACTGCTACGGTTACGGTTATGTTTGATATCCTAAACCAGCCATTAAGTCGCAAAAAATCTTAGTGAACGCTTACATCGCTCACTGAATTACGTGATTAGAGCAGTTAATAAAATCAGAAAAAATGCCTTAAATGAGAGATTATTTGTTCAACTTTGCCTGGAGAATGATTAAGGTTACAATCGTTTGTTACTTAACACAGAGGTACGTTGGTTGTCCAAAAGTGCATGTTTGAATAGATTTTCCTCACTTTTTGATTCAGTTTTAGAATTTTTTGAAACTGAAGACAATGATCTGCGACTTAATTTAATTAATTCAAAAAATGATATAGTTTATATGACTGACTTTTTCTATATAAAGAAATCTTGGGAAGAGGAGAATTCTCTCAATTTCCAAAACTTTTTGAATTACAAAATCGTGATTTTGATTTGCTTGCTTCTTGTCAGCACTTGGGGGAACTTCACTTAAATTTCAACAAACGATTTGAAGACATTCTATTCATTGCAGAATAACTTATCGAGCTAAGTACGAACTGTAGCGGGGCCGTGGTAGGCAACTAAATATACAATATGTATAGTTATAAGACAAGTTGTAACTTGTAAAGGAGAGGAATAAAGAAGTGATATTCGAGGGAATAACACGTATAACACATGGTGTCAGGTTTAAGCGCAAAGAAAAAGTAACCGTTTTAAAAGAAAAAAAAAAAAAGTGCCGTGGAACGGAAAAGTAACGTACGCGGGCGAGAAAAATTCGAAAAATAAAAAGGGTGCCGTGGAACGAAACGTACGGATGGCGTCCGACGGGAAAAAGTACGTCGTGAAAAAGAAGTAGACATTGATCAGTTAACAGAACAGTTAAATAATTTACAAAAGTTAGTGAAAAATCTACAAGAAACACGTGGAAGAAATGAACCGGAAATACTGGCGACCGTGCAACAGGCAATACCAGCACCGGAAAAGTTCTCATTCGCGAAAGAAGATTGGGAAACGTGGATAACACATTATGATAGGTTCCGACTGGCGACAAATTTGCAAGGGGTAAGCGAAAAATCGCAAATAAACTCATTATGTCTTCATATGGGACGGGAAATAACAAAATTTTTACAAACGCATTTTCAAGACGAGTCAAGTTTTAAAAAGTATGAAGATCTAAAAGAGTTCTTAAACGAAAAATTTACTAAAACGCAGAACGTTATATATGCACGTGCGAAATTTAATTTACGAAATCAAAAAGACGGCGAAACGGCGGAAGAATACATACGCGCAATAACGATTTTAGCAAAAGAATGCCGCTACGGGTTATTAGAAAACGAATTAATTAGAGATAAATTAGTAGTAGGAATTAGAGATCCAAAATTATCTGAGAACCCACAATTAGACGAAATGTTAACGTTGGAAAAAGCAGTAATAAAAATTATTCAAGCCGAAAGAGTAAGAACTGAAAACACAGAACTCCGCGAAGAGCGTTATCGCGTCTACAGGCTGGGCGACAGCGAAGCGGCGTCGGCGGTTGTGAATATCGAGAAAAAAATCATAGAAAAAACGTAGGGCGCACATGTTTTAGATGTGGTAATAAAAACGGACACCAAAGAAAAGATTGCCCTGCAGATAAACAAGAATGCCGTAAATGTAAAAGAATTGGTCATTTTGCATCTCAATGTCGAACGAAAAAATTTAAAATAAAAGAGGTAATAGTAGAATCGGAAAACGATAGTTCGCGAGATGGAAGTACTGAAAGTGAATTTGAATGCAATCGCTTAATCCGCGTAAACAAAATTGAAAAAATACGACCATGGGAAATCCAGTTGGATGTAGGTAGTAAAATTATTGATTTTAAAATAGATACAGGCGCCGATGAATCGATCATGAGTTACACCTGTTTTAAAAATAAATTCAATAAAAACTATTCGCTAAAACAAACCAAAGCAATCTTAATTGGACCAGGAGGAGACAAAAAAGATAGCCAAATAAAAGTATATGGAAAAATTAAATTACCAGTTAAATGGAAAAATAAAACAAAATTAATCAGATTCTTTGTAGCAGACACAAATGAAAATTTATTGGGAAGACCGTCACTGACAAAATTAGAAATAGTTGAATGGAAGAATAAGGAATTAATAATAGGAAGCATTAACATAGAAAAAGAAGTAAAAGAAAAATTTCCAAAGGTATTTAAAGGTATAGGGAAACTTACAAATTTCAAGTACAACATTAAATTAAGCGATAACACACAACCGTATGCAGTTACCGTACCGAGGAGAGTACCGATACCACTACGAAAAGAAGTAGAAAAAGAATTGGAAAGAATGCTAAAGGAAGATATTATACAAAAAGAAGAAGAACCTACGGATTGGTGTGCACCAATGGTGGTGGCGCAGAATAAAGGAAAAGTAAGAATCTGTTCCGATTTTACTGAATTAAACAAATACGTAAAGAGGGAAGTTTTCCAATTGCCATCGGTAGATGAAACACTGGCAAAATTACAAGACGCTACAATTTTCACAAAGTTAGACTTTACAAAAGGATTTTGGCAACTGGAATTAGACGAAAAATCTAGAAAGATGACAACATTTTTAACGCCTTTCGGAAGATTCAACTACAAAAGAATTCCGTTTGGTATCTCATCAGCCCCGGAGATTTTCCAGCGAACGATAAACAAAGTTTTAGAAGAGTTAAAATCCGAAAAAGTTATTGTGCATGCTGATGATATTTTGATCGCAACCAATAGTAACATAGAACATGATAACCTTTTAAGGAATGTTTTAAAGATATTGGAAAAGAATGGATTAACACTAAACAAACAAAAATGTGAATTCAAAAAGAACGAAACCACTTATTTGGGCTATATTGTCGGAGCTAATGGAATACATGCAGATCCTCAGAGCATAGAAGCTATAGTAAAATATCCCGCACCGATGAATATTTCCGAAGTTAGACGATTCCTTGGAATGGTAAATTATATGGGACGATTTATCCATAATGTTGCCGAAAAAACTAAGAATATTAGAGAATTACTACGGAAGGATCGAGAATTTAAATGGATGATAGAACATAACAATGAATTTGAAAAATTGAAGAAAACGATCGCATCATCACCGGTAATAACAAAATTTGATACGCGACGACGAACTCGAGTGTCCACCGATGCATCATCATACGGGGTAGGTGCGGTTCTCGAGCAAGAACACGAAAACGACAAGTGGAAACCGGAGTATTTTTGTTCAAAGACATTAAACGAAACGCAACGTTGTTACGCGCAAATTGAAAAAGAAGCGTACGCGATTACGTGGGCGTGTGAAAGACTCGAACAGTTCTTGTTAGGTAAACAATTTTTAATTGTGACGGATCATAAACCCTTAACCGCGATACTTGCGACTAAAGAACTAAATAAACTATCTAACAGATTGCAAAGATTCCGTATGCGTTTGGCTAAATTTAACTATAATATCGTGTATACGCCGGGAAAAGACTTAATAGTGCCGGATGCCTTATCTCGTGCTCCATTATGCACTGAATCCGATAAAGACATTTTACTTGAAGACGCAGACATTTATGTAAACTCTATTATTAAAGAGGTATCAGTGGATTTCATTCCCGAAGAAAAGATCAAGAAGGAACAACAGTTTGACGAAGGACTACAATGTGTAAAAGAATATATCAAAAATGGATGGCCTAAGAAGAATAAAGTACACGACTCGGCAAAAGAATACATAAAATTTGCAAACGATTTAAAAATAGTCGATGCTACTCACACATACCGAGACCGTATAGTAATACCCAGAGAAGCGAGAAGATGGTGTCTCAATCTAATCCACGAAGGACATCAAGGAATTAATAGATCTATAGCTAGAGCAAAGGACTCAGTGTGGTGGCCAGGCATACGAAGAAACATAATTAGTACTGTCGAAAACTGTGAGAATTGTTTAAAAATCAAAAATCCCGTAGTAGAACCGATGATTATAACACAAATACCAGGAAAACCATGGGAAATAATTGGTGCAGATTTAGCAACCTATCGAAACAGTACTTATCTTGTGGTACAAGATTATTATTCTAAATATCCCGAGATTCGTAAACTAGGCAGAATTACATGTCAAGAAGTTATTGAACACTTTCAGGACATTATGTCACATCATGGTATACCTATTGAGATGAGAACCGATAATGGTAGACAGTTTGACAGCTATGAATTTAGAAAATTTGCGAAGAGATATGGGTTTAAATGGACAAGTAGCAGTCCTGAATACCAACAAGCTAATGGTCAGGCCGAAAGCGCAGTCAAACTAATAAAAAAAATACTTAAGACGAACGATGACATGTACAAAGCATTATTAATATACCGCAACACCGTTAAAATGTGGAGCATCTCCAGCTCAACTTTTGTATGGTAGATCATTGCGCGACCCACTCCCAAGAATCGAGGCTAAATTAAAACCTAAGCTACCAAATCATGCCATCATTAGACAAAAACTAAAAACAGAAAAGGAAGAACAAAAGAGAAATTATGACAAACGTCATCGAGTTCGAGAAAATACAAACCTCGAACCAGGTGATCGAGTATGGATAATAAATAAGAAGCGGTATGGCATAATAAAAGAAATAGCCAACGAACCAAGATCATATATTGTACAAACGGAAAAAGAAGATTTAAGAAGAAATAGAAAACATCTCCAAAAACTACCACAAATCAGTGAACAGACCCCGGATGTTCCGAGAGAACATCAATATTTAGAAGAGGCCGAAACCAGGACACAGATAGATGAACCACGGAGAAGCGAACGCGAAAGAAGAGTTCCATTAAAGTTAATAGACTTTGTTAAATAAATTATAGTATGCTTTAGAAAGGGGGATGTAGCGGGGCCGTGGTAGGCAACTAAATATACAATATGTATAGTTATAAGACAAGTTGTANACCATCGATATTGTGCCCCACAAAACTGTATTTCCATCTAAAATTGAAAAGTTCACTTCCATTCCTATTAAGCCAAAGGAAATTGGTTCGAAGAATTTCCATAATAATGCGAAATTCATTCTAACAGGATTCTGAAAACAAAAAGAATTAAATATATTTGTTACAGTCAATAGCCCATACTTGGGACATTGGGTTTGGGTTTTAGATTCCTATATCAAAGAATATATAATATTAAGCAATTAATGATTTAAAAAATATGCCAAAACTTTGATGGTAGGCAACTAAATATACAATATGTATAGTTATAAGACAAGTTGTAACTTGTAAAGGAGAGGAATAAAGAAGTGATATTCGAGGGAATAACACGTATAACACACGAACGAAGAATTAAAACCAATGTTTGTTGACGGATATGAAAAATTTTGGTTACAAAAACAGATACCAACTTTATATCCCGAAATATGGGACACTGTGAAAGAGTATTTAATAGCTTTTCCGTCTTCATACTTAGTGGAACGTGGATTTAGTGCGGTTATGAACCTGATTACGAAAAGAAGAAACCAACTTGATGTTAGTGCTCGTGGTGACTTGCGGTTATTGCTTACAAATATCACAACCCATCAGGCTCACCCATCACGTTCAAAAATGTTTTCCTTAAAAGAAAAACATGTTTTTTATATTTTATTTTACGTCACAAGTCAGTGACAGGTTATCAATTTTCAAGCCAGCTCATTTTTTACGAGCACTGCGTTTCGGTAAAAACAGTTTCAGTAGCACGGCACAGACTAGGGGGTCCACGATCACATTTTGGCTCAAGAAGGGGTGCGTAGCCATAATAAGTTTGGTAACCACTGGTCTATTCGAATTATCCAGGGTAGTCGCAGATTGCTACAACTTCTGTAGTTTCAGAAAACGACTTTTCAATTGATATGTTCAATACTTGTCTGGTCAACTGTAATTTTATGAATCTGAATCTGGTACAGATTCGAATATGAATCTATCTTCAGCCACATATNCAAGAGTGGAGAGGAATCGGAGTTCAAATGAGCCAAGGTTGGATGCATTACATGACACACGCACCAGGTAATTATTACTATTCCATGTAATTTAACCTAAATTAATTTAAATTTTGTTGCAGAACCACATATTTTATTGTTTAAGCGGCTCAAACCGGGTGTTCATAAATAATTTTTAAAGAATTTTCTTTTTGTAAAGGTATTAATATTTTATTATAATAGTTTGTATTTTTTTAACATAATTTGTTATTTAAGATGTTAGTTTTTGTGTATTAACTCATAACATTATTTTTTAATCTCAAATGTTTGTTCTTAAGATATTTGCTCAATCTCTCAAAGATATGTTATTTAATAGTAAATAGTACTTTCATAAAACGTAAATAAATACATTTTTTATATTAAATTGTTTTAATTTTATTCAAAACCTCCATAAAATTAATTAAACAATAGATAGGCAACCCAAATCGCATTTAAATTATATTAATTTAATTCCAATCTTCTTAAACAATATTTTAATTTATATAATTAAAATTGTTTTATTCTATCCATTTATAACAAGAATTAAATTAAATTTCTTAAATCAAGATTGAAATAACCGAAAAATAATCAAAATCCCCATAGTTTAATTTTGAAACGTTGGTAACACTTTTGACATAGATAACCGTTATAAAATTTCTGATCCGAAACGAAAAAGGTTTTCACCAAGTTAAAATCGTTCCACAAACTCTAAAAATCTTCCGAAATGAATAAGGACGCTTTAGCTGAAATGTACAAGCACATTTACTACTCAGATAAGTACTACGACGACGAATTTGAGTACAGGTAAATTAATTCAGTTTAAAATTTATAAAAATATTTTTTTTTCTTAATTAATTTTGAAATATTACTTATTTCACGATGAAGGCATGTTGTGTTACCAAAAGAATTAGTTAAATTGGTTCCTAAATCGCATTTAATGAGTGAGAAAGAATGGAGAAGTATTGGGGTACAACAAAGTAAAGGTTGGGTTCATTATATGACGCATGCACCAGGTAAATTACTAAATAAAACTTGTATTTTAAACAAATAGAATTAATTATTAGTTTTTTAATCAAAAATTAATTAATAACAATTTAAATATTTTGAAATATGTCATTTTGGTTGCCTATATTCTAACACATTAATTTATTTTCTTGCAGAACCCCATATTTTATTATTTAAACGACCAATAAGTACCCCTCCAACTGAAAATTGCGTAGAAAATTGAAGACAATCAAAAGCTTTTTATTGTAAATAACTTTTCCTGTATTAGTTTAATATTATTAGCATTATTTATGTAATCTCACTAATGAATTAATCATTACTCACTCCATCCGAGTTATTTAAGCGAATGTATATTTTTTTATTGCACTTTCTTAGTTAAATAACAAGGGAGAATAAAATGTAATATTAATATTAAGTTTATTTTTGCCCATTAAAAAAATATTTCATCTTATTTAAATAATTTAAACTTTCGTTTTCTCCTCAGCTTCTCTCCTCTCTACAGGATTAATAACCTCTTCATCTTCATTTTCTTCTTTAATAGTTCTATGTAAAAATCTTGGCCCTAATTGCATAATAAGTATGGCCCCTATTGGTGATGTTATTATAATTGACATCACCGCTACCACTATAACAGCATTTCCCAGATTAATTTGATCTAAATTAAGTGTTTCTCTTGCCATGTCTAAAGCAACTGGACCTAGAGCAGCCTTAAAAAAAAGTAATTAAATGAATTACAAAATTGAATAAAAGAATTTACTTGAACAGTTGCTTTTGGAGTCCAAGAGATTGCAACAAATAAGTTTTCTTTAACATTTAAATCGGTCCAAATCATTGTAACATATGAAGTTATTATTCTTAACTAAAAAATAAATGGAATGTGAAAAATTATTGCGTTTTTTTTGTGGGGATATTACCAATAATGGAATAACCATCGATATTGTGCCCCACAAAACTGTATTTCCATCTAAAATTGAAAAGTTCACTTCCATTCCTATTAAGCCAAAGGAAATTGGTTCGAAGAATTTCCATAATAATGCGAAATTCATTCTAACAGGATTCTGAAAACAAAAAGAATTAAATATATTTGTTACAGTCAATAGCCCATACTTGGGACATTGGGTTTGGGTTTTAGATTCCTATATCAAAGAATATATAATATTAAGCAATTAATGATTTAAAAAATATGCCAAAACTTTGAAGGACCCTTGTACTTACCGAATATGATTTGCCTTTCATTAATTTGTTTTTTTGGTTTGTTAAAAAAAAAATTTAACTGTCCCAAGTTAGAAATACCTGCACCTAACTTGGGACACCCCTTTATTTTAATATGTGTACCATGTTTTGACTGCTAGTTTCTAACTGGAGACACCATAAATGTTTTTTTTTAACATACCAATGAAAGTCATTATAGTCTTTAATTTGTTCGTTAATTTTTTTGTCCCAAGTTAGATACTTGTCCCAAATACGGGCTATTGACTGTACAATAATAAAGTGTCAGTGTTGTAAATATTGGAATTATGTACAACATTATATATATAGAATTCTTAGACCATAAAAGATCTTTTATGGTAGAAGGATTATTAATTGTAGACTGACCTATAACGTTTATAGTTTTTTGAGTTCATGAAATGGCGTATTCAGACGGTTTAATCATGATTTTGAACGCTAAGAATGCAGTTTAACTCGAAGATATGATTGCATATATTGTCAAAAGGGTAAGTGAAAATTTTGATGAGATGGATTTGAAAGTAGCAGTTCACAAAATTAATAAGTGTAGGAAAGATTAAATGTCTAGGAGTTTGTATGAAGAAGAATATGTTGATAATAAAGCAATTAACAGAAAGTGCTAACAGAAGCAGTGAAATTTTGAAATATTTTAACGAGAGTTTTACGAAATATTTGGGCGATGATCATAAGTAATCCTCATGTTCAAGTTATATGGAAAAGAAGTTGTGAATTGGCGATGACGATTGAAAAACGAATTCAAATTACGCAAATTACAAATTACTTGAAAGGATTATCGACAACAGAATCTCTCAGAGAATTTGATGTTTACTCGGGTGTCGCGTGGCGGCATCAATGAGGAAGATGAACCGAACAAGACCGAGACGATCGGGGCTGAGCAGTCCAGCTCAGTTTCTCCCTTGGTTAGACTGGAGGCAGCTCCTGCGTCCATGATCACTGAGCGGGTTGGTGAAACCACCGGCTCAGAAAGGGCGAAACCAGTGGGCACCTCACACAGGTCGTCTTCGGATCTGTCCGACTCAATGTTAACGATTCCCACCTGCTCCCCAAATCTAGATGCCTAGAAAGGAGTTTGGAGAGGACCCTGCGACATTAAGGGTAATACAATGCAAATTACACCGTGGAAGGGCTGCAACTGCAGTATTATGCAGGCACCTTGACATGATGCAAAACACCATTGCTCTGATTCAAGAGCCATGGACTATCAACTCAAATGTTTCTGAACAAAGCGGTTCTGTTTTCTTTCTCAGTACTCAGGATCGACCGAGAGCTACAATCTACGTTCCTAGACATATCTCCGCGTATCTCCTGCCGGAAGAATCAAATCGGGACTCCGTTGTAGTCAAGATTCAATGCTTCCTAGCGAAGAAGAAAACGACGCTGACTCTAGCATCTGTCTATCTGCCTATAGAAGAGATGGCTCCTACTGCGGCCTTGACAACATTAGTCAACGCTAGCAAGGTAAATAAATGGCTACTCATTGTATGTTGCGACTCCAACGCTCATTCTGTTGCCTGGGGATGTGACGAAGGAGGTAATAATAAAGAAAAGGTATCGATGATTGAAATTTATTAATTTCTTACAATGTTTAAATCAGTGCTATACGTATTTCGAGCTATAAGCTCTTCATCAGGCACGACTATAAGAGACAATGATGTTAATTAATAGATGTTATATAAGAAATTATTAATATTTACCGTCAATTGAGGAGTAAAACAAAAGTTAACATGTGCACATTACAACGAAACAACATTTCAAACGGATAATGTATAAAATCCTCTACTCAAAAGCGAGTTGCAAAAAGATAAAAAATAACAACGAAAACGAACATGTGACAAAACTCGTGCGTGGGAGTTAAAACAGGACTGAGGTAACAAGAAGATGAGGGCTACCGCGAGTATATAAAGTCAAAAAGTGGGGGGTGGGGAAGGGGGGTTATTAGATAAATTTAAGAAAGTTCCTATATTTGTTGGATTCTGTTATGTCATTCAATAGCAAATCATTATCATTTTTATTATTAATATATATAAAATATTCCTCGTAGAGGTCCATTTCTCTAGATTTTTTAATTTTCTTGAGAAGTTTGGCGTTTATCTAAAGAAGATTTGTGGTTGTTATTCTTTAAATGCTTAAAGAAGGCGGAAGACTCTTTGGTGAAAAGTTCTTTGATTCTGGTTTTAAGGCTTCTACCAGTTTGACCTATGTAAAAATGTTCACATTCATTACATCTCAATTCGTAAACTCCATTGAGTTCTAACTGGTTAAATTTGTGTTTGTTATTAGTAATCAACTGACCTAGTTTGTTATTGGAGGTAAAAGCTGGTATGATATTGTGTTTGAACAGGTTTTTCTTAAATTTAAACTGTAATCCAGGATTAAATGGAATTGAAATGTATTTAGGTGGTGTTTTGTAATGAGGATATAGTAGTTTATTAATGTGATTGTTGTGAACAGTGTTATAAATCTTCTGTATGCCTTTAAGTTTAAATCTGTTATTAAGGCTTATTTTAATGATGTTTTTGAGTTCTGAGATGTAATTTGGTTTGTTTAACGGAGTATTACAGAGTCGATGGAAGGCAAATCTAAAATTGGCCATTTTATGTTGTGCACAGTTATATGGAAGGAGGTAAGACCTTGCTTGAATTTATTACGCGTAATGTCTTGGAAATAATCAACCAAGATTGTGAACCAACGTTCGTCAATGCTAGGTGTCAGACGATTATTGATTTAACCTTGGCATCGGCGAACGTATCTCAAAAGATTAGCAACTGGTGTGTCTGCCAGGAGGCGTTTATGTTTGACCATAGATGGATCACTTTTGATTTAGGATCAATTATGCTTTTGAGAAAGAGGGTCCGGGATCCAAAGCGGACTGACTTGAGCATTTTTGCAAGCTGTCTAAATGAGCAATTGCGAGATTTTCCAGATGCCCTTCCTAGAAATACCGATGAATTGGAAAATTACTCAAACCTCGTGGGCGACACAGTAACTCAGGCCTTCCACAGTGCATGTCCTGAGAGAATTGTGGAAGAGAGAGGAAAGGCTACACTGTGGTGAACTCCTGATTTACATTCACTGAGGGTCACTTGCAGAAAAGCTTTCAATAAAGTAAAACTAACTAGACTGAATTCTGACTGAACCTTGTTCAAAACACACCAGTCAAAGTTCAAACGTTTAGTACGACAAAAGAAACGATAAGCCTGGAGAGGTTTTTGTAAAGAGGTGGAGAGCGATGCTGAGACCTCACGCCTAAACAAAATACTATCTCGCGGCCAAAAACACAGTTGTGTTATTCAAAAAAAGTCTGATGGCAGTTTTGCCAAGGATCCAGAAGAATCGTTACATTTACTAATGGATGTTCATTTTCCAGGTTCTTTGCAAGATTTTTCAATGCTTCTACACCAAGTGGAATTTAACAACTCTCCTACCAGCCAGGACTGGCAGATAACTAACCAGGCTGTACGGAATGAGTTGGTAGAGTGGGCCGTCGGCAGTTTTGAGCCCTTCAAAACACCCGGACCCGACGGTATATTTCCTGCTCTTCTTCAATGGAGCCTAGAGGGTATGAAAATACACTTGATGAGAGTTTTTAAAGCCTGCTCAGCCTTTAATTACGTTCCCATCAGCTGGAGGAAGGTATTAACCTTTACATCAAAGAATGGAAAAAAGGACCCACCGGATCCTAAAGCCTTTCGACCAACTAGTCTCTCATCATTTCTTTTAAAGACGGTTGAAAGACTATGTGAACATTACATTAGAGGGAATGTACTTAAAGCGTTTCCTTTGCACTTGCACCAACATGCTTATATCAAAGGTAAATCTGTGGATAGTGCCCTACACATGGTAATGGGCGCATCGAGCAAGCACTTGACTCGAAAGAGTCCATTCTGGGAACTTTCCTTGACGTAGAAAGAGGATTTCACAAAACCACCTTCAGTAGCATTAACCTGGCACTGGAATCTCGAAGAGTGTCATCGCGGGCTGGATAAAAACAATGCTAAACAATACTTTCACCGCTTCTCTGGCGCTTAATAGTTGATGATCTCATTCGTGAGTTAAATAATAAATAACTCTTCACAGTTGGTTACGCCGACGAGCCACGTCTTGTTAAGAGGTGAACCTGACAATTTTCTTTGTTACAGAATGCAGCAGGCGCTTAAACTTGTTGAACGATGGTGTGAAGAACATACCCTCTCTGTCAATCCTAAAAAGACTGCGACTGTTCGCTTCACCAAACAGACGAAACTGGGACACTTAACGCCACCCAATTTCTGTAATAATCCATTAACCTTTGCTCCAGAGGTTAATCTGGCTATCTGGGTGTTATCTTGGACACAGGACTAACTTGGACATCACACATTAGTTGCAAAACTAAAAAAGCAACGATTGTACTGACCCAGTGCCGAAGGGCTATTGGGAATACTTGGGGACTAAATCCGAAAGTTACAATGTGGATCTACACTTCTGTGATAAGACCCATGGTAGCTCACGGAGCTATAGTTTGGTGCTGAGCACTAAAACATACATATAAAGCTAAATTGCTGCATCAATTGCAACGACTGGCCTGCCTGCTAATCACAGGCGCTATGAGATCTACACCTACGATTGCGATGGAGACTATGCTGTACGTGCTGCCCCTAAATATTTTTATCAGGGAGGTGGCCTCTGGAGTGAGGCTGTTAGTAAACAACCCCTCCTTAAAGCTCGCACAGACTACATTACACCTAATTTCTTAGACACACTTTGGCATTGACACGATACCCCAGAGCAACTCAAGCTCGGGCAAAACGCTGACCATCTACACTGATGGATC